GGTGATTGTGAAGTGATAATGATGGTTGGATTACCTGCTTCTGGCAAAACTACTTGGGCAGAAAACTGGAAGAAAGAGCATCCAGAAAAACGATATGTTCTGCTTGGTACAAATTTAGCACTGGAACAAATGAAGGTTTCTGCCACTTCTAGTTCCTCCCTTCTCACTTCCTCTCTTTCCCCCACCGACCCAACCTAACACACACACAACCCCATCAGAAGTACAGATTTTTCTTTCTTTTTGTCATTGCATGATTTGATACAAGTCGAACCTCATTACAGGTACCAGGTTTACTGCGCAAGCATAATTACGGTGAAAGGTTTGAGCATTTAATGGACCGTGCAACTGGGATTTTTAATACTCTTTTGTCCAGGGCATCCAAGATGCCTCGGAATTTCATAATTGATCAAACAAATGTCTTCAAGGGTGCACGTAAACGTAAACTGAAACCTTTTGCTGACTACAGGAAGGTGGTTGATTGAAATGGGCTGAATCTTTTTTAGTATTTTTTCTTCATTTTTGTTCCAACATGATCGAACACTGATTTTTACTTATTGCTATTCCCTTAATCAGATTGCTGTTGTGGTTTTTCCAAGACCTGAAGAGTTGAAGCTCCGTGCTGCTAAGAGATTTAAAGAAATGGGAAAGGAAGTTCCTGCTGAGGCTGTTAATTCGATGTTGGGTATGCTCAGAATTAAATGATATTTCTTACTAGGTCTCTATCTTTTCCTGGCATCGGATGCCATTACTTTTGGTGTACTGAAATTTCTATCTTCAGCCAATTACAGTTTGCCTAAGAGCATGGACATGCATGGGACAGATGAGTACTTTGATGAGGTATTGAGAAGAAAAAATATACATATACTAAAGTTATTTATTCCTTTTTTTGGAACAATATTGAGTTTGATATCATGTGCTTGTAAGGTTTTGTTCACGGAACTCAGCAGAGCTGAGTCACAGAGGTTCTTAGAAGAGATGAAGAGAGATATGAATGCAAATCGTGACATGTCCCCTTATTCTAATGAAAGTTCTACTCGGTCATATTGTACTTCGTTACAACATGGTCATGGGGCCTCAATTCAGTCACGTTCTGGCTTTTCATTACAAAATCAAAGCTGCTCACCAGGTCGTTTGTCCTTTTAGTGAATTAAAAAAATGGAGAATTGAATTTATTGTTTGTTCTAAACATTACATTTTATTTGTTTTAATATGGGTTTCGATATGGCTCAGGAGTAGGTGGTCACTGGAATAGTTCATACTCCTCCCAGCCTCCCTCCGGTGGCGCTTATGGATCCTATTATTCAAGCCCTTCTGTTTGTGAGTCAAGGCATGATTTTGATCGCAAAGGAGGAAGTCACAGTGGAGGTTTTGGTGAACTCTATCGAAGTTATGAAGGAGGTAAGGTACATAACTTTGCTGGTGTGGAAAACGAAAGTTTCTTACCTCGGGGTACAACTGATCCTGGCCGAAGCAGCATTGTTGATCACTATTCTGAAACAGCACCATCATCCTACCACACTTGCCAAAGATATGCCATTAGCTCTCAACGTCCACCACCCAGTCTTTCAGCTACGAGGCCTGATGCATATCACTTCAGTACACCCTCAACAGCACATGGTTCGTAACATTATGAAAAACAAACATAAGCATAGTTGCTTCTGATAATACAAACATAAGCATAGTTCCAGATTCGGGAACCTAGTAATAACTACTGCTTCATCTGGGGTTCGCATATATTACCGGCTGATCATTTTTCGCTTTTTGTTGGTTACAGGTTCATATCCTACCACAATTCCCAGGCCTCCCTATGACAACTTTCTTACAAATTCGCATCATGCTGGAGTTTATCCTCAACCTCGTCTGCCACCTCCCCCTGTAAATTTTCCTACAGGCATGCCACGTCCTGGAGTTTATCCCCCGCCTCGTTCAGGTTACCATTGATTGTAGAAGATAATAGCAGTGGAGAATGTAGTCTCTGACCAGCAGAAAACTATGAAAGTGTTTGGCTGAATCGGGGGGTGTAGACTGTATAGTGATATATTAAATTATGTCTTTGATACAGTTATCAAGTTCCTTGTTATGTGCTTTAGGTATGTATATTGTGAACTAAAAAAATTTAGGATTAAGCTACACGTACATTAGGGTGTCCATAACGATGTTCATCCCTTTCACATGGAGTACCGACTTCGAATAAAATATAATTTATCCAAAAATGGGTGTCCCTCCATGTGGTAAAGAGTGGACATATTTTTGAATGTTGTATTATGTACAACTAGCATATTTCAAAATTTTAAAATTAAAAAACCCACAAAATTTTATGCTATTTTTCCCCCTCTTTCATTTTTTATTGAATTTGTGTCTCATGTAGTTTTTCGATATTAACGATTGTGCTATATGTACGTAATAGTTTATATATACATCATGTGCTGATATTTGATTGGATCAAAATTTCTTTAAAAAAATAATAATAAATAAAATATAAATATAAATAAATAAAAGTTCACCAGTTTTTTGAACATCTTGCTTGCATGTAAACCGTTGTATAATTTCAAGCATTATTCTTCTTAAAATACATTTTTTTTTTCAAACTCAAACGAAATTGATTCTTAAATTATTATAATTTGTTGTTTCGATTTTATTTTGAGAGACTAGATAAACCGAATATTGGCAACTTGGGGACCCACTCGATGATTGAGAATATAACTTTTAACTGAACACAGTCCGAGTAAGTCCATGCTGCAGTAAACCTTAATTTTGTCGAAAGAAGTTTACCCGTGGGTCCCTGAAATATCGCAATTGAGAATGAATTTAGCATATCTTCCATTGTGCACCACTTAAAAACAGCTTAGTTTTATCAGTTTTATTCATTTTTATTTATCACCAGTGTGGCAACGTGCGTTGCACGTTAGTTGGTTTAGTTGGGTGCACGTTAGTTGGTTTAGTTGGGGGTAAAGGTGAAGTATAAGGATGTAGTGATTGCTGAATAAATACATAGAAGAAATGTGTTGGTGCAATGAGGAAGTGAAATAATTTGAATAAACAAATGCCTATATTTCAACTTTTATAGTATGCGAAGAAAAGGAAGAAAAAGTTGACCTTTGTCATTTGGATCATTTGCCAATTTTTCCAATCCGTGCCTAAAAGTACCAGCTTTTCCTTCACTTCTTTTTAAAATCTAATAGCACCCACTTAATCAGTCTTTCTACAAAAAAGTTCAACATACCCACAACAACGATAAAATAGAAACAATTGGAATGATGAGAATTAAAAAGTAAAACAGAAAGTTTATATTGGCAGCAAAAAAAAAATAATAATAATAATAATTTTGGAGATAATAAATGGGGTCAATTTTAAAGAAAAATACTGATTAAATCAACTGGATTGTAAGTTAACTTGTAACTATTTATTTGACTAGCTTAAAAAATAAAAACATATTGATGAGTAACAGAATTGACCAAAGGATTATTTAGTAATATTTTCAAATGGTACCTTTAAAATATTAACTTGAGCCCGTGATAAATCAATACATCTTTGCACACCCTTAATCACGATTTGGATGCTTGCTTGCCCAATATGGTCTTATACATCCAATAATTTTGATGTGTTGCCTGTTTTTGCTGATTTATATGTTCGCTTTGGATTTTCATGCTATGGGATCCAATAATTTTAGTTTTTGCCTGTTTTTCCTGATTTATTTGGATTTTCATGCTATGGGCTTAACAGTTCTGCCATTTTTATGTTTAGTAATCCTATTTTTGGGTTGCTTCAATTGATCACGATGTGAATGTGTATAAGACTTTATATTTTCCTTCTTGTATATTTCTTCCCTATCCTATCTACGTTTGAAACATTTTACTATGCGGGTTTGTACAATTTTCGGCTGTGATGTATAATATGATTGGAATTGGGCAGTGGTGGTTTTCCTTCCTTTTGAATGAACTGTAGATTTATTCATTTTTACGTGGGTTGGGTGACATGGGAGATTTGTTTTGGTTGATATTGTTTAATTAGGGGACAATGAGATTCAAGTTCAGATTGTTTAATGAAAGTTTGGATTTTTGTGGTGCGGGATCCGAGAAATGAAGGGCTTTGTTAGGTTGCACTGTGATGTGATGAGCAGTGCTTCATTCACAGAATGAAGGTTCACAGAAGTTTTACTTACAAGACACAAATATGTGGGGCTCACAATTTATTGTCAATTTTTTATACACGCGTGGGACCCTGTCTCTTCTCTCTTCTGGCTCCATTCTGTGATCAATTAATCTGTACAATTAGATTAATTGGTGATATGATTATGAGGATTTAGTTGGCTTCTAGATTTTTGGTTACAGGTTGGTTGCTTTGATTGTTATATTATTATTTGAAAGTGGATTGGGATAGATTGTTATGGTGGTCAATTTGTTTAAACTTGAGAGTTCTGGGTATTGTTTTGAGCTTGTGGTTTTGGTTCTCAAGTGTATCTTTACAATTTATACATTGCATTTGGAGGATTAAAGTTTGTTTTGGTCGATACGGTGAAATTTGAGCACTGGAATAGAGTTCTTGAGGTTGTCGTAAAATCCACAAAAAAATTGAGTTAGATTACTTCAATTTCATAAAAAGAATAATTTCAAAAAATAATTCGCGCACATGGAATTGTCCTGAGATCTTCGAACGATGAGATTGAGCAATAAGCAATTATTTTAGCTGTTATACGTTTTAAAAAAATACACACACACACAACCAAATAAAATAAAACAACACAAAGGAAAAATATGCCATCAAAAGAAGAAACTACATAATTAATTCAATTTGAGAATAAAACACCCAGAATAAGTTGAAATTCATACACTCGCAAAATAGAAAAATACTTCAACGCAAGAAATAACTAAAACTCTTAGAATTATGTATAAACCCCAACAAAATCAAAAGCAAACTATAATAAAATAAAAATTATAAAAAGTTAAAGTTTCACCAAAAAGCTAAGGCACTGGAACAAAAGAAGAAGAACGAAACACAGAATGTATGAAACAAATAAAAAATGAAAAAAAAAATCACAAAATGGGCAATATTTATACACATGTTGAATCAAATTCAAAATCCACAATATTAGGCTATCAACTCTAGGAATTTACCTCTTCATTGAGCAATTTGTAGCAATGATTGCAATTTATTGTCCTTCCATTATAGTTGAAGTAAAGCATTGAAACTAATCAGACTTACCAATGGTTGCCTGACATCATCAAAAGAAAGCCCAAAACGTCTTCTTAAATCTTCTTTATTTTGTGCTTTGCCTTCAATATCATAAGCTTAATTAAAATAACATCACATCTTCAAATTATTTTCAAATTAATGTAGACAGTGAATACCAGACTTAATTGATATAATAATTAATTAAAATAGTAGAAATGTAATTGATATTACTTTACTCCCAAGTTCATACTATTAAAATCAGTTTGACATGCAAGTAATATCAATTAAAACAAAATATCGAACTATTTCAATTCAAAATTAAAAGACAAATGAGGAATACTAATGACATTATTAACTAAATGCTACAGATTAACAACTGTTAGAAAAAAGAAATGAAATTAAAACTAAAAATTAAACTATTTCAATTCACCATTACAGACAAACGAGCTTATAAACTAAATGCTACAGATTAACAATTGTCAGAAAAAAGAAATGATACTTTTCAATCCAAATCCGAATTATTAAATCCTTAACTCTTGACTTAAAAATCGAAGAAAGGAATGGGTTGTATGAGTTCAAGACTATACCCAATAAAATAAATCAATCATATTACCTTGAAGTTGGCAAATGACGAGGCCAATTTTGATGATATTGTTTATGATGTCCTGAGAGAGTTTACAGGAAATTGTTAGGCAGAGAGAGTGAGAGAAGGGAGACAACGAAAAAAAGAAAAAAAGAAAAAAAAAGATAGATAGAATGCAATGCAAAATACACACACACACACACACACACACACACACACAGATATATATAATGTTATGTCTTTTACAAAGGAAAAAAAAAAAAAAAAGGAGCAATATGCTTTGTGAATTCATGGTGCATGCTCCATGCATGCACGGAGCAACATCTAATTTTTTATTTTTGGTTTTTTTTAAACTCGAATAGCTCCGTGCGTGCATGGAGCCATAATTAATTAATTAATTACTTTTTGTTATTTAAATTAAACTTGAAGATAAGACATGCACACAATCACTCTTCACTGATGATAAACTCAAACAGAAAAATTAAAAAGCTCCGTGAATTATTATTATTTTTTAAACTCGAATAGATCTGTGCGTGCACGGAGCCATGTGCAACCCGTAAAAATTAAGCCTAAAATGTCGGGCTTAGCAACAACTTTTTTGAAACTAAGTCGAAGCACACATACTCAATCAAGATGAAAGTTTATATTCTATATACATACTTACAATAAGTTTCTAGGGAACTCTTAGAAATTAAAAAAAAAAAATCTCCCCATTCCGTGCCTGCCGTGTTGCACGGAGCTTTTGCTCTCTGTATTTTTTTTTCATTATTTTTTTCTCCATTTTTTTTTACATTCTGTTAAAATAAAATTTTTTATTCTCTCACCAACGATATATAAATGAACTGAGCAAATGAAATATGAAATAAGCAAACAATCTGTAAACAAAATGAACTTTAATCCTAGTGCATATTATCAAAATCAATTTGAGGGTACACTCACGCAATTAATCAAATACTTTGACAACAATCAATTAGAATTACAAACCAAACTATTTCAATTCACCATTAAAGACAAATCTTAACAATTGAAGAGAGGAATAAATTGTATGAGTTCCACATTACACACATTTCGTAAAATTAATCAATCACATTACCTTGAAGCTAAAGTTGAAGCAGGCAAATGATGTCGCTAAAATTTCGATGAATCTCCAACCGTATGGAAACGGAAAACTTTACAAACTGCAATTGTTAAGGTAAAGAATCAGAGAAGAACTCGATGAATTAGGGGATGAATCAGGGAGAGAAACCATGCATTCTTACACAATCAATAGCAGAGGAATGGGTTAGTCAAAAATGATGGAGAAACAGTATGGTTGAAACCAGAAACAATAATAAAAAAAAAGTACAAGACGAAATATATGACTAACATGTGTCCTGTCAATGTTTCGCTTTTTTATATATGTAGGATTTATGAATCCTATCTAGAGTGACGTGGTCCCAGATAGAGTGAACCGTAAAATAAAGTCTTGCTTTAGCCGTGCATGACTAAAAGAAGTAGAAATATAGAATCAAAACGATTATTGAGGTCGCTGTTTTAGAAGAAGATTTGC